GAAAAAACACTTCTCAGGGCTCCATTGGCCCACCCTGGTGGGCGGCCCTGCCACCCTGTTCTGGCCCAGCTCAAGCACCCTCCACCCTACCCCGGCCTGCTCAAAGGGGCCCTGTCTACCAGAGCAGAGCCCTCCCTCTCTAGGTCCCTCACCCTCTCTCTTTCTCTTCTTCCTCTCTCTCTCTCTCCCCCCCCCCCACCCTGTCTCTCTCTCTATGACTTGAAGAGCGCTTTCTCTCCAAGGCTCTATCGCTTTTACTCTCTAGCTCCCTCACCCTCTTTCTTTCTCTTCTTCCCCCTCCACCTCTCCATCTCTCTCTCTCTCTCTCTCTCTCTCTCCCTCCCCCCATGTCTCTCTATCGCTCTCTCTCCTTCCGTTTCTATCTCTCCATCCCTCTAGCTCTTGCTCTCCTTCAAGCTGTGTGTGTGTGGCCGCGCGCGTGCTCCCCTGTGTGAATGGGTGGTTTTGCTCATGGTGGTCGTGTGTTGTGTCTGGGTGTCCCTCAGCCGCTCTCTCCCAGAATCAGGCTGCCGGCTTTGGTGCCAGCGCGGGGCAAAGCAGAACCCACCTGGCCCCCTTGTTGCCCACAGGCTGGGTCCCCGTCGGGACAGGGGACGGGGGTGAAGGCGTTGTGAGAAAGAGCGCCCGTGGGACTGGGTTGGCTGATTGCCCTTGGGCAGCCCTGGAGGCTCTGGGTGGGTGGGGCAAGAGGGGGCCTTGCAGAAGGGGCGGCGAGGGATCCAAAACAATCCCTCAGTGCTAAGGCAGAGGACCGGAGGGGATACCAGGACCGTGGGCCCTGGGCCCTGGGCCCTGACGCCTCGGAGCACACCCCGTCCTGAGCCGGCCGGATGTGGTGGAAGCTCGGGAGCTCGGGAGCTGGGGGAAGGCCTGGAGCTTCGGCTGAAGGGAGGCCACCTCCAGAGCTCGAAGCCTGTGCAGGAGACAGAGGCCTCTGGCGCCCCCGCCCGGCAGCAGGGCGGCGCTGTGGCGGTCCCGCGCTTGGCCTGGCCACCAGCGACTGCGGGAGGCTCTTGGAGGCCAGCTGAAGGCGCAGCGCTGCGGCAGACCATGCTCCGGCGTAGAAGGGGAGAGCAGCCGGTAGAGGGGGACAGCAGACTAGCCCGGCCGCTGGCGAGCAGCTCAGGGATACTTGATCAGAGCCCTGTGGATCCGGGGTTGCCAGGATGTCTAGAGTCGGGCGCGCAAGACTGAGCGGAGCTCTTGGGGCTGCCAGGCGTCTATGGCCATACCACCCTGAACGCACCCGATCTCGTCTTATCTCTGGAAGCTAAGTAGAGTCAGGCCTGGTTAGTACTTAACTGGGAGACCGCCTGGAAATACCGGGTGCTGTAGGCTTTTTTGGCTTCCCGCTCCCTCCCTCTTTCCCCTTTTTATCCGGTTGCTTCCCAACCGCCCCCTGACTCTGCTCCTCCTTTTCCACCCGCCTGCGCCACCGCGGTACCCCTGGACCTCCTCATGGGGCATCCGCCACTGCAGCACCGCCGGTTAGCAGCTTCCCACCCCTTCTGCCTGGCAGCCACCCCATCAGTAGCCCAGTTCGCTGCGCGGGACGGGGCGGACCGGAGCCAACCTCGAAGGCGCAGGGGCTAGGTTCCCTGCCGTCCCGGGTGTCTTCCCTCTCCCGGGACGCCCAGGGAATTCAATTCACTCATCTGGCGCCGCTGTCACCGTCCAAGCCGGGGGAAGGGGCGGGGAAGCGGGCCCCACAAGACACCAGACAAGACCTCCGCTCCAGAACGCATGGGCTGCTTTCCCCAGGGGAAGGACATTGCCTTCGCCAGCCACCAGGAAAACCGTCCCTGTGCACTCGGAATCCCTTTGCCACCAACTTCTATAAACTCCAGTCCCAAGGACAGGAGACAGACCCAGGCCTCGGCCCGGTGGGCATGCTTGGCGCCACAGCTCTCGCCAGAGGGACGGGTGCACTCTACAAATCTCGGGGCCCACCGCCCCGAGAGGACAGGGAGGAACCAACAAAGGAAAAGCCCTACGAAACGGACCATCAAAGCAACCAATCCAACAAAAAATACGTCTCAGGGCTCCTTTGGGTCACTCCGTTAGCCCTTCCACCCTGTTCTGGCCCAGCCCAAGCCCCTTCCACCCTACCCCGGCCTGCTTAAAGGGGCCCTGTCTACCGGAGCAGAACGCTCCCTCTCCAAGGCTCTAGGGCTCTCTAGGTCCGTCACCCTCTCTCTTCTTCTTCCCCCTCCACCTCGTGCTCTTTCTGTCGCCTGCTCTCTCTCTCTCTCCCCCCCCCCGACTCACTGTCTCTCTATCACTGTCTCTCTCTCCCCCTCCGTTTCTATGTCTCCATCCCTCTCTCTTGCTCTCATTCAAGCTGTGTGTGTCTGTGTCTTTGTGTGTCTGTGTGTGGTGTCTGTTTGCAAGACGGGCTGCGAGGGATCCAAAACAATCCCTCAGCGCTAAGGTGGAGGACCGGAGGGCCTGGGCACTGACGCCCTGTCCTGAGCGGCCAGATGTGGTGGAAGCTCGGGAGCTCGGGAGGCAGGGGAAGGCCTGGAGCGTTGGCGGAAGGGAGGCCGCCCGGAGAGTCCGAAGCCTGGGCAGGGGACGGAGGCCTCTGACGCCCGCGTTGGGCAGCAGGGCGGCGCCGTGGTGTTCGCGGGACTTGGCTGCCAGCTACTGCTGGAGGCTCTAGGAGGCCGACGGAAGGCGCAGCGCGGCGGCCCGGGGTGCTCAGGTGTAGTAGGGGAGAGCAGCCCATCCCGGGTGCGGGCAAGCGGCTCCGGGGTCCGCCATCCGAGCCCCGCGCCCCCGGGGTGGCGGGGACGCCTGGAGTCTGGCACGCGTGATTGGACCCAGTTCTTGGGGCGGTCAGGCGCCACTGTCAGGGTCTACGTCCATACCAACCTGAAAGCGCCCGATCTCCTCTGATCTAGTGAAGCTAAGCAGGGTCGGCTGGGTGAGTACTTGGATGGGATTCCGCCCGGGAATACCGGGTGCTGAAGGAATTTTGTCTGCTTGCTTCCTAACCGCCCTCTGACTCTTCCTAACCTTCCCCTTTTATCTGCTTGCTTCCTAACTGCCCTCTCTGCTCCCCCGTTTTCCGCCCTCCTGCGCCCCCGCAGCAGCCCGGGACCTAGGGGTCCCCCACTGCACCACCGCCAGGTAGCAGCATCCCACCTCTCCCGCCTCGCCGCAGCCCCAGCAGGAGCCCGGTTGTGGCTGGCCAGAGCCCGACCCTGAAGGCGTAGAGGCGGGTTCCCTACTGTCCTGGGTGTCTTCCTGCTCCCGGGAGGCGCAAGCACTTCAATTCAATCATGCGGCGCCGCCGCCACTGTCCAAGCCCAGGGAAGGGGCCGGCAGGGGTAGCGGGTCCCGCAGACGCCAGCCAAGACCCCCGCTCCGGAACGCATGGGCTGCTTCCCCCTCGGGGAAGGTCATTGCCTTCATCAGCCACCAAAACAACCGTCCCTGTGCACCCAGAATCCCATTGCCATCAACTTCGTGTAAACTCTAGTCCCGAGGACACGAGAGAGACCCAGGCCTCCGGCTCCGTGGGCACGCTCGTCGCCTCCGCTCTAGCTAGACGGATGCGCACACTCTACAAATCTCGGGGCCCACCGCACCAAGAGGACAGGGAGGAGCCAACAAAGGAAAAACCCTAAGAAACGCACCCCCAAATCAACCAATTCAAGAAAAAACACGTTTCAGGGTTCCCTTGGTTCACTCGCGTGGGCGGCCTGCCACCCTGTTCTGGCCCAGCCCAAGCACCCTCCACCCTACCCAGGCCTGCTCAATGGGGCCCTGTCTACCAGAGCAGAAGACTCCCTCTCTAAGGTTGTACGGCTCTCGCTCTCTATCTCCCTCACCCTTTCTCTTCTTTCCCCTCCACCGTGCACCCTTTCTTTAGCGTTCTCTCCCTCTCTCCCCTCCCTCACTCTGTCTCTCTCTCTCTATCGCTGTCTCTCTCTTCCTCCCTTTTTCTCTCCATCCCTTTCTCTCTTGCTCTCCCTCAAGCTATCTGTCTCTTTCTCTGTGTGTGTGTGTATGTGTGTACCCGCACGAGTGCGCCAGTGTGTGTCTGTGTGTGTGGGGAGGATCGGGGTGGGGAGGGGGTTGGTTTTGCTCGTGGTGGTCGTGAGATATGTCTGGGTGTGCTTCAGCCCCTCTCTCCCGGGATCCAGGATGTGTGTGCTGGGGGGAAGCAGTGGAAAGGGTGTTGAAGGAAGGTGACAATCAGCTTCGTGGAGGGCACTGACAGGCCATTATTCCTGTGGCTTGGCAAGTTTTCTGTTTGAACTTATTTCTTGTTAAGGGTCCAAGTGTACCGACTATGGGAATAAGAAAAGAAGAATAGCTCTGAACAGCTGAAGCTCTGTGAGGTACAAAAGATTTTTCTGGCCCAGAGAGACTTGAGTATGGGATTTGAGACACACCTTCACACCCTTTCCCAGAGGCAATTGTTTAAAGGTATGTTGTTCCTAAGGAGCTGCCTCATCTGGAATTTGTGATACAAAGAACAATGTATAGCCAGTCAGTGGCTTATGGATTTTAATGTAAATTTTTGATGAAAATTTTAGGAACTGCGTCTTTTCTCAAAATCCACTTGTAATGGCTACTAATTGGAGTGTATATTCAGGGCAACTTTATGCTCTCAGGTAGGTATCCTGAACATGTGCCCTTGAATATACTTTTGAAAATAGATTCTGACTTTTTTATTATGATGGGTTGACAGGGGACTGGCCTGGGATACCTGCCTGGATGTAAATACCCCAACCATTAGCTGCCCTGCCCAGCAGAGGAGGCGGGTGGACAGCAGGTCCCCTTTGGTCAGAAACACATGCATTGCGTAGTTGTTCTACAGCTGGGTCCTGCTTGCGAGGACAGTCCCACAGGCGCACCGGAATGCACAGGCAGCCTCCCCTTTCCACCCGCCAGCATTCCCAAGCACGCCTCGGCTTCTGACTGGTCTGTGCTTTGGGAGGAAAACTTCAGGTTTCTCTCCAACAGAAGATGATGATGATGCTGTTCAGACACTCAGGAACAAAGATTGCAGATTGGCTTAAGAGTGCGCCCTTTATTAAAGATGGTATACATGTAAAGACATGGAACAATTTTGGAAGGATACCAAAAAAAATTGCCCATTTTATTAATAGTCTCATTCAACCCCTTTGCTGACCTCATCTCCTGTCACTCATAACCAAAGGAGGAGGGTCCTGGAGCCCTGTCCAATCAGGGACATTGACGTGGGAATTGTCCAATCAGGAGCGCAGCTTGAGAGACAGAGGCGGTTTCCGGGATCTGGCGGGGCCTTTGTCTTGCGCTCCAGTTGGAGCTTCGGTCGCGTCTTTTCCGCTATTTATCCTCACCTGCGGGAGGCCCTGGTGACTCTGCTGCTGCAGTGTCTGGTTTCCCTGTGACCTGCAGGTGCTGGGAGTTACGTAGCTAAGATGCCAGGACACACCGAAATCCGGAAAACGGTGAGAGTTCCCTGGAGGGTGTTCCAAGATGGCGGCCCGGCCTCCCTGCATCAGCTCCGGAGTCCGCGGCCCGGAGTCTCTGCTGGCACCTGTGGGATCTGTCACCTCTGGGTAGGGGCGGGGCCGGGCCGCCGCGTGATTCTCCTCCCATCGCTGCGCCGCGGCTTCCGCCCGGGCCTCCGCCCCGGCCTCTCTGGGCAGCTATGAAGCTGCAACCCCGCCAGTCCCCCGAACTGTGTGCTTGGTCCGGAGGGGAGGGTCATCGGGGAGAAGCCCAACTCGGTGTGCGAAACATGCGTGGGAAGAGCTGTTCCATAGGGCTCATCTTAGCTGTGCAGTCCATCCTTTTTCCTGTGAAAAAAAAAGGGAGGCACTCTTAAAGTTTGAAGAGTTTGTTTGGGCAAAGGGAGTTTCTGGAATGGGAGAGCACCCATCTATGGTGTGTGGCTTGTGGGTTTATGGAGGAGGTGCTTGAAGGAAAGGCTTTTGTAGGATGCATGAGGAAGCAAGCCAAATTTAATAATTGACTGGCGACAGTTTTACAGCCACTTTATTTGGACTGTACAGGTGGAAATTTCCTGGTTATTTAATTAGAGATTAATTGGAGTTTTGTGATTGGTTGAACCTGGATTTTGTTTCCACTTAAGGTAGTCATTAACAAGAAATGCATTTGAGCTACTAATATTTTTCATGTCGAAACGCAAGACACTAGAGCCACATCTGTCTAATTGCCTGCTAATTATTTTAACACTGCACAAGAGACTGGTTTTCCCCTGCATTTTCCAAATACATGGAAAGCAGGGTCTCAAATCCCCTCCCCTGCTCCCCCAGCCTAACTCTGGCCTGCAATAAAATACTAAATTTTCAGTTTCTTTCCAAAATTCACAAAAACCACCGTCACCTCTGCAATTCACAACATTGTCAGCTATTTGTCTTTTATTGCATACTCCAGGCACAGTATTTTAATTAATCATTTTTTTCACAGAACATTGGAGGGCACTCTTTGTTGTTGCTATTGTTGTTTTGTTTTTGTTTTTTCTTTAAGAAGGAGTCTCGCTCTGTAGCCCAGGCTGGAGTGCAGTGGCGCGATCTTGGCTCACCGCAACCTCTGCTTCCCGGGTTCAGGCGATTCTCCTGCCTCAGCCTCCTGAGTAGCTGGGATTATAGACGCGTGCCACCACCCTGAGCTAATTTTTGTATTTTTAGTATTTTGTGTTTTAGTTTCATCGTGTTGGTCAGGCAGGTCTCCAACTCCTGACCTTGTGATCCCCCCGCCTTGATTTCCCAAAGTGCTGAGATTACATGCGTGAGCCACGGCGCTTGGCCTGTTGTTTTTTTTTTCCTGCCCGGCTTTTTTTTTTTTTTTTTTTTTTGGTTGAGTTGGAGTCACGGCTTTGTTGACAGGCTGGAGTGCAGTGGCATAATCTCGGCTCATTGCAACCTCTGCCTCCTGGGTTCAAGCGATTCTCCTGCCTCAGCCTCCTGAGTAGCTGGGACTACAGGTGTGCGCCACCACACCTGGCTAATTTTTGTATTTTTAGTAGAGATGGGGTTTCACCATGTTCGCCAGGATTGTCTAGATCTCTTGATGTCGTGATCTGCCCGCTCGCCCTCCCAAAGTGCTGGGATTACAGGCATGAGCCACCACGCCTGGCTTGTTGTTGTTTTTAAGGGGATCTTGCTCTGTCATCCAGGCTGCTGGAATGCAGTGACATTGTCATAACTTACTGCAGCCTCCAACTCCTGGGCTCAGGTGATTTTTCTGCCTCAGCCTCCTGAGTAGCTAGGATTAAATGTGTGTGCTACCATGCCCGGCTAATTCTTTTTATTTTATTTTTTTGTAGAGATTGGGTTTCACTAGTTACCCATGCTTGTGGCACTCTTTAAAGATTTGTTTTCTGTTTGTAAAAGCAGAGAAGAACCCCCTGGCACTCTATTGTAAAGAAATATTTGTGGCACTCTGCTTTTATCTTTCCTAGGCACAGATGCCTTGTACAATATCTTTGAGTTGAGGTTCCGCTTTGGAAACTTTACAGCTTGTTGTATCCTCAGCCACTCTTTTTTATTTATTTTTATTTATTTATTTATTTATTTATTTTGAGACAGAGTCTCTCTCTGTCGCCCAGGTTGGAGTGCAGTGGTGCACTCTCGGCTCACTGCAAGCTCAGCCTCCCGTGTTCATGCCATTCTCCTGCCTCAGCCTCCCGAGTAGGTGGGACTACAGGTGCCTGCCACCATACCCGGCTAATTTTTTGTATTTTTAGTAGAGACAGGGTTTCACCACGTTAGCCAGGATGGTCTTGATCTCCTGACCTTGCGATCCGCCCGCCTTGGCCTCCTGAAGTGCTGGGATTACAGGCGTGAGCCACCGCGCCTGGCCCGTCAGCCATTCTTATCCTAGTCCTGAGTTTCAGAATTGTCTAGGAATGACCCAAGATGCCCACAGTGGCTATGTCTCTTGGAGTATCTAGTGAATTTTGGTTGCTGGGTTTTTTTTCTTCCCAGAGGACAGCCTATGGCATGGGGATGGAACCTCTCAGTGGAGCTGCTGGATGTCCTGGGGCTGAAAGAAGTCTTCTGGTACACCCTTCATCTAAAAAGCTAACCTCTGAGACGTTCTCTCCCAACCCCCAATTTCATTGTCTGGAGACACGTCAGTGGAGTTGGGAAAAGACAGAAATAATTTCTACCCTCAGTATTCTCAGACTTGTGAAGGGAGAAAAACTAGTCCAAAGGACAAGCAAAACCTACTCCAGTGAGCTGGTGCGAGAACATGCAAAGCAAAACATCCCTGGAGCACACAGTGAGGCACAGTGCAGTGTCTCCAGACAGGGTGGTCAGTGACCACTTCAGTGAGTAGAATGGGGGTGGGAGAATGTCCCAGGTTATAGGATAGCCTGATCTGACGCTTGAGTCGGATGTGTCTGTGTTCCAGGTAGCACTGTTACTCCCTGAATTTGTCACCTTAAAAAGATTTGTTCGCTTATTTCATCATCAGTTTTTTATTAAGTATATATTACACTTTATCAGTAGAGCTTGAAAGGTTAGAAAATATTTACAAAGGGCATGAAAGTGGTGAATTCTAGGAAGAAAATATGTAGTCATATATTTCATTTGTTAAAAAAACTCATTTATCTTTTTCTTCATCAGAGTGAGTGTAGTAGTTTCTCAGTTCTGTTCTATTTTAAGGGTGATTTCAAACAGAATCTCAGGGCTTAAGTTTGGGAATTCTACCAGGGGAAAAAATAGGAAACATCTCTTTTTCAGTATGCCTATAGGAAATTCAATTTCACAAGACAGTATGGTAGATTAATTGGTAAATTATATAGATTCATGAAACATCAGTTCCTCTTTTTTACAGGGTGGATGATTTGTGACATTAAATGTTCTGTATTCAATTATCTGGACATCCAAATTCAATGCTAAGTTTTAGGAGATGGGACATGGCTCCTCTTAGAAGGGCTCACATTTAGTAAGTGTTTCCTAAATGATCTGTTATAGAAATATTTAATTGACATTTTTGTATCTGAAAGGAATAGACACTTTTGCCTTTCCTTTTGAAATGTAAAATGTGTCTTACAATTTTATTCCCTTTTATAAACACTGTCTTTGAGTGATTTTGCGGAATTCTTCAAACACTGGGCATTTTCTCATTTAAAACTAAATGAGTAGCCCTGACTGGAAAGTAGAAGTCTGAGCCCAGTGACTCCAAGTTAAGGCCAATCTTGAACCTGCAAAAGAAAGTCATTGAAGGCCCAATTAGTTCTTCCTGAGGAGCCTCCCTTGCAGGTGTCCCAGCCTGCTCACACAAGCATGGCAGAGTCCTTTACGTTGAGAGAAGCTACAGAGCCCTGGAAAGTGGGAGATCCATGGGCAGATGCAAATGAGGTTGGGTTGGAAGACGGGTTCAGAAGCTCTTTCTGAGGATAAAATTTCGTCGTCCTGGGCTGTTTCTAGACTTTGTCAAATAAAGCTAATTTAGATTTACATAAAAAGTTACTTAATTTTAAAGGAGTATTGCAACAGGGGAAAAATACCAACTATATCTGCAATCATCTGAAATGTTAGGCAGAAAAGGGCTTTATTTGAAGGGGGAACACACAAGACTAGAAAGAATGTGGAAGCGGGAGAACAGGATGAAAGTTGCCAAAATTAGATCCTAGATCAGAGAATGTTTCACCCTGAGGTCAGCCTGTGTTTAGGAGGGGCATAAAGAGGGGTTATTTGCTGGCTCAGGCTGAGTATGCATCAAAGTTCTGGGGCCTGCTAGAAAGAGAGAAGCTAACCCATTTATGCCTAGTGTTCCTTATTGGAGCACTAAGCTCGTGGGAGTTATTTATACTTCCTACTACTAGATGACCCTACTGCTGAGGGTCATCACCATGGTCTGATTTTTCACACAAAAAAATTTGCCACCTCCAGCATAAATGGGTTAAGCAGTGGTTGGTGAACAAGGTTTTTTTTCTTGTTTGTTTTTTGTTTTTTTTACCACTGAAGAGAATTGTTCAGGTGATTGTTTATGAGACAAAAATGGGAATTTGCAATCTGTGTCTGGCTTTGTAATAGGTTAAAAAAAAAAAAGGGAGCATCATACGTCAAAATTAGAAGAGTGTTTCTTTTCATTCACCTATTCTTTGAGAACATGAAGGATGGGGAATTTCTTCAGTCACATCTATTTACCAGGATTGCCTACCCACCCAATCTTCTCCTGCCACTTTCCTTTACTGTATATAGCTCTTCCATTTGGCTGTTTTGAGATGTACTTTTTATAACAAACTGATACATGTTTTGCTGAGTTCTGTGAGGAGTTCTGTCAAATTATTGAACTTGAGTATGGGGTTGTGGGAGTCCCAGACTTACAGGCAATCACTCAATAAGTATAGATGGGTCCCTGGTGCATGTGACTGGCCTCTGTAGTGGGGGCAGTGATGTGGGACTGAGCCCTGGCCTTGTAAGGTCTGTGCAAACTGAATGGTGTTAGAATTGAATTGTTGAGCAAC